TACAAAGCCAACAGCACTTGCATGGCAGCTAAAAATGAGTATATATTTTCTCCAGAAGGTGCTACACAGTGGTACTGCCATGTTTATCTTTTAAGGCTAATCTTTCTCTCTATAGCTTTGATCCAGAGTAGATTCAAGCTCTGTTTCTCATAGATCCTCCTTTTCTCAATGGCCACATAAACTGAAACTAATAAAATATTGAAGAAAACTGTCACAATGAGCATTTAGGGCTTATTAATAGAAATAGGTGGTACACTATTAATTGTATGATTGATAAATACCTGAAGCAAAATAAGGAGCAGTGATTAAATTTGAGGGTGCATTTTTGTAACAAGTTTCATATCTTTAAGCAAGATGGACAAGCAAATCTTCCACAGAACATTTTGGTACTTTATGAAGTTTGCCTTCCTATATAAAGAGCTTATCTATATTTGTTTCCCACAGTCTTCCAAAAATTATGTAGCATCTGAAATTAAAAATACTTTTCAGTAACTATCTTATGAAGGCTGTCACTGATGACAAAATAGGAGAAGGAGAGAATTTCAAGCACGCATTTTTGCAGTTGCATAGAAGTGCAGGTATAGAAGAAATTGTAAATCCCCAAAATTGTAAAGCTGGAAAACATTTCGTTTACAACCAAGCAGAGAAGAAAAGCATGAGAGAGAGTAAAACACTGTATTCAATGACTATTGAGAGGCAACTCTACTTGTTGCCAAGTGGTTTTTTACCTTTTTTATATGGTTATCTTTTGTGTACATAAGTTCTTTGATTTTGCATGGGTAATGATTAAGGAAGAGGCCTCAGAAGCCAAAATCTGGCTTGCTGTCAACAGAGCAATTTTAAATTTAAGCACTGAATCAGTCAAAGTACTGTTTCGCTCCCACACTAGTTTCCTTCTTTCAGGGTAAGAGCAACTGGGATCAGATTACTTAATGGCTCAAAAGGGCATGAATAGTTTGGGCCTAAAAATTAATCACCACAAACTAGGTTGGTTTTTTTTATTAGAAGCTTCTTTTTGTGACTTTTACTATTACTCTTATTATTGTTGAGCACTTTGTAAAAGGGCTGTTTTTCATAGCATCCACAAAAAGACCAATCTGTTTATTAAGTTGTCCCATGCCTACTCAGTGGCCCCACTGCTTGACAGTTTGAGCTGAAATGTATGAGAGATGTCACTTACATTGCCAGATCACGTAATGGTCCTAATTATCCAGAAAAGTACAATTACACCAAAACAGAACATGTTGCTGTTCTTTTCGGTCAAAGGATTTCACCTTGTTTTGTAAGAGGAGTAACAACTTTGCAGAACAGGAGAATCTGTAAACACAGGGCTGGCAGCAGAGCTGGAGCCTTCAGCTCCCTACTCTCTGGGCCACTCTTTCCATCTGCAGGTCGCGGTTCTCTCTGCTTTGTCTAAACTGTCATGCAATATGTGATTACCTACATTTAAAAACAACTTTAGTATGTAAAACTTAGAAGAATTTCACCCCTGTATGTCAAAATAAAGAGATAAAAAGCCAATCCCAAGCCCAACCAACCAAACAGAAGATGGAGCCAGAGAGCAGCTTTTAAAGCACATTGCCAGAGAAGATGGGGAATTCGGTTTGCTCCAACTCATGAACTCCAAACAAGACTGCAGATAAGGAATTGGAGGAAATCCTTCAGTACTCTGGTGCAGTACGAGGGCATGGAAGGAGGCTCTACTGTGTGTGAGCACATCAGTCTGAACCAGCACAGCAGCTTCCCCGGGTCTTCTGTCCTCACCCTGCACATGAATTACATGAGCCACGACTGCTGCTTAGAGGCAGGGAGCCTAATTCTCCTCTACCCCAATCAAAAGAGAGAAAGTCAGCCTGCCCCAAGAATAGAAAGGCCAAAACTAACAGAGGGATGGATGTTTCATTTACTGTGGTGTCATGCCAGGACACAGAGTAAGAGAAATGATGCTAAGAACCAAAGATGAGGTAATATTTATTCCATATAAAGTAAGCTGCATTTTTCAGTTTGATTTTCATTCTGTCTTATTGCTGGAAACACTCTTCCAAGAAAGTTCACATAATCCAAGCATACCTACTAGACAAGAAATAGAATCTTTAAATGATGTCATAATATAATTCTTACAATTTCCTGCAAAAAAGCAAATACCAGAGGAGCATCTTATAATTCTTAATCCTATAACATTTTTTTAATGCAGAAAAATAACTGAATAAGCTTGCTTTTCTTGGCTTCAGATTCAGATACTCTTGTCCTGCTTTCAGTCCTAGCAATATCTTTAATCTATATAATCTGACCTGAAAGCTATGACAGAAAATGAAAAAAGTATTTATGAGATTTATTTGCTTGATTTTTCTTTTCAGTTATACGGGGAAACACTTTTCTAACGTACCCTAGTTTTGCTTCTCTAAGTTCTCATTAAACTTGATGTCTACAGCAATTCTAACTTTGTCTGAACTGTCACACAAGACATGATTACCAACTTTCTGTCATTATAGGAAAAATGTTTTTAAAAAGTTTTTGATTGCTTTGTGTAACAGTGGTAGACCTGGGACAACACTCGGGTCTTGCTGGGAATTTCCATGCCTTTTCTACCATCACAATACTTTTTAAGCCTGTCGGGGAGAATGCAAGAGGAAGCTCCATGTTCTCACTTTGAAATCTTTGTATTTCTTCTCTGTCTCCCTTACTCCTCTCCCCAGGTTTCCATACATTACTTTTTCTTCTATCAGTCATAGCAAAATTGTTTTTGTGTGCCATAATTTCCCAACCCTATTTCCCCATCTCATCAGGGAGAGTAGTGCACTGACCTCAAGTTTGCACACCTGGTAAAATGATATACTAGACCTCAGGACACCTTTCTATTATTCAAGTCCTTTCCTGGTCTTGCAGAGGAAATCACCATTACAGATAAGCTTTAAAAGAATTTTAAAGCCCTCAAGAGTTTTATCTTGAATAGCCGCTGGAATTCTGGAATCTCTCTTGCATTGTGTAGTCCTTTTTTTTTTTTTTCCTCTCCCTCCCTTCTCCCCAAACGGTAACTTACTTCCAAAGACTAACCATTTATATAAAGCATATATTTGATTTTATCATATTATTACTTCACTTCAGTCCAAAATGTAGGCCTGCCTTTCAGTGTTTTCCTCTGAACAGTGTCTTAAACCTTGAAGGAGTAGTTGTACCTGGACAAGATTAATAGCAAAGAGTGACATTGCAGTGGGCAACTGAGGATAATCCAGTTGATTTGGGAGATATGTAGGACCTCCTTCCAGTCCTATGACCCACACCTTTGCCTCTCAAGACACTCATTTCCTCAGCTACTTTCTTCCTTAAAAGCGTTTTTGGGAAATGTATTCTGGGTCTCCCAAGAGCCTGCAGCCTGCTGTCTTCAACATAGCCTCAGTCCCTATTGATCTGTCAGTGATCCACAATGCTTAATCTTGAGAGCAAACTACTGCAAGGTCAGTAGACCTTACCAGACTTCAGTTTAAAAGACATTTTTAGATATATTCTGAAAACTAACAAGTCTATCAATCTTCAAAGAATACCTCACACCTCACCAAGTAGTGAGACAAGCATTTCTATCTGTAGGTCTAGCCTAGGACTGCAGGATCACCCATAGCAGTAAGAAAGTGGGTCTTTGACTCTTCAGTAGGAGCTCCGTTTTAAGAATTCTGAGGAAGAGATATTATCTAGTCCAATCACACATCCTCAGGGAAATAATTTGAAATTGCAGATTCATTTCATGTAATCCAGCTTTGCTGACCAGACCTTTCCCTCTACAGCACACTTGTGGACCTGTCATGTTTAGTTCAGAAAGCTTAAATGTCTTGCTGTACTCCTGCAGACACTGTTTAGCAGAACAGAGATTACTAAACATGACGAAATTTAATTTCTGTCTCAAGGAATTATTTATTTTTCCTCTGGTGCCTCTGTCTACTACAAAGGCAACAGGAGTGTGAGTGGGCAATCAAGATTTGTTCGGTTGTAGATACTGATGTGTTCTACTGGAGAAAAATTTCGTCTCCCGATCTTGGATGTTTTCATACCTGATTTTTTTTTTTTTTTCACAAGAACTGCTGCTCATTGGGCTTAGTGTGGGTAAATTTAAAGTTGCAGCTGAAATAGCGCTTTCCAATCTGCTGACAACTTCTGCAATCTAGGACAGCAGTTCAGACATTGGGCGTGATTTTCCAGAATCTTTCGAGACAGATTATGAAAGTTTGGCATACGCCTCGGGAGGAAGCTGCCTTTTCACCGGTTTCAGCACAGAGCTTTGGACAAGTGATCCGACTTTCTTGGAGCTCAATGAATCTGTCAAGAAAAGCGAGTGAAAAGAAGCCGCTTGATGAAAACGAGCTGGTGGAAGTCTGCTGTGCTTCCCTTAGGAATAAGCTTTCTGAAAGAGACTTTCTGCTGGCGTCGCGGCGCAGCCCTGCCTGCCAGCATCCCTGTATAATGCAGCAGCAGAAATCCCGTGTTTACTTTCAATCCCAGGAAAAACTAAGATAGGAAAATGCAAATCGAGGGATGCATCTACTTTAGCAGCAACACTGTTTAATCTTTACTCGCGTGGGGGTTTTTTGTCGCCCGGCGGCCACAGCGGTGTGGGACGGACCGCAGGGAGCCGCACAGTGCCGCCAGTCCATACCCGAGCACGGCTCAGAGAGGGACACGCTGCCCAGGCTGTCCCTGGAGCCATCCCTGGCAGGAGAGGTGCGCTCGCACCTCCACCGGACCGCAGGTTTCCCTTCGCCAAGGCGCCGCTCTACAGCCCCGCTCTGCGAGATGGCGGCGCCCGGCCGCCATTTCCCGCCCCTCACAGCACCGCGCCCCGCCCGGCCTGGCCCGGCTCTGCCCTGCCCTGCCCCTCTCGGGGGCGGTGCCGCCGCCGCCGCGCTGTTCCTGCTTCCCAGGGAGCGCCCGGCTCCGGCAAGTCCCTCCTCCACCTCGGCAGTGCGGGCCGCCTCCCTCCCTCCGCCGGCCGTAGCCTCCTCCGGCGGCAGCGGCGGTACTCGCCGGCCCCATGGCGGCGGAGCCCCAGCCCAAGGCGCTGACTCGCAAGCCCCTCCTGCTCAACAAAGTGGAGGGCTCGCAGGAGGTGGTGAACATGGCAGCGATAGTGCCCAAGGAGGACGGGGTCATCAGCGTCTCCGAAGACAGGTACCGGGGAGCGGGTGTTCAGCGGGGCCGCGGCGGTGGTCTGCCAGCTCCCGCCGCTGCTGCCGGTGATGGAGGCAGTGCGGGGCCCGCGGCGCGGGGTCCTGGCTGATGTCCCCCATCACCGGCATCACCAGCGGGAGGTGGTGGGTCCCGTCGGCGAGGGATGGTGGAGGAAACTCACCAGCATCCCTGTGCGACTGCAGACTCCAGCAGCCGGAGCCCGGACGAGCGTTCGAGGTGGCGGTGGTCCAGCATAGGGACATTGCTCTGGGCAGACACATCACGTCCCGGAGGGGAAGGAGCCTGGAGCAGCGGTCTCCAGCATAGTGTCCCACTCCTCCTCCTCCACCGCTGTGTGCGTCAGGACAGTGACCGGGCTGGGCGCTGAAACTTGCGGGACTTAAGTGACTTTTCTTGGCGTGGGTGAAATGGGATTTGAGATCCCCGTCATTACGAGGATTCCGGGGAGTCTATGGAGATCTTTGACCTTGCCTAAAGGTTGTGGTGGCATTGGCTTGAACAGTAGTTTTGGTTTTCGTTTCCCCCCTCCAAGCATTTCTTGGTAATTGTTTAAAAATACCGTGAATCAGTGATAAGATCTTGGAGTTAAATCCCGTGTTGAAAAGCTGCCAAGGAGGAGAATGCTTTCAGGCCCTTTAACAGGGCTTCGCAGGACTGAGGCTGCCCAGAGACAACTCTTGTCTCTTCTGAAAGAGCTCAAACTTGATTCAGTCTGCAGCTGTAGCTTCAAAATTCTATCTTGAAGATATTTTATTTCAAAATAAGTGCTTATTTTTCATGCAGTGTCTTTAAATACTTATTTTAAGCAGTGTTTCTTTGTAGCTCAGGTGTACTGTGTAACCTGTGTCCTAAGATTGAAAGACACGCGTTGACCAGCATGTCAATATGTTTTGATATTCACAAGTGTTTGGATGGACTGTTTCTCATGGATGCCTGTGTTCTGTTGAGTGTCTGCTTTTATGTCTCTGCAAGCTTTCTGAAAAACTGACAGTTTTCTTTCGTCTTTGTCCTCACTGTGACTTAGTTTTCAGCTGTCAAATATGTGCAAATTTAAGTTCACCTAGTCTGAGGTCTCCACGGAAACTCTCATATGCCTGGTACCAAGAAGAGCTGAGCTACTTAAAAGAAGTATACTGTCAAAGGAACTTTAAGTAGAGTTTTACATTGTTATGTGCTCACAATTTTATTGTCTTCACATTTCTTATGTATTTAAAGTGACATTGAATAAAGCTTGAGCTTGTTTTAGTTCATTGTAGCTTGTTAGGCTTACTTAGCCAATTGTTTTTATCTGTAAGAAGGTATTCCTGAAATTTATTTCCACTCATATAGATGCCTCTCTCAATCTCTGCATCTTCCCTCACCTTAGCAGAAATAAATAGCTTTAGTTGTTGATAACAGGTTGATGCTCCAGGTTGATATCTCTGTGTAGGGATTGATGAAACATCCTTATTTTCACTAGTAACTGAGATTTCAGCTTCAAGAGACAAGAAGTGAAGAAGGAGCCGGGAGTTTCACACTAGGAAAGTCCAGAGGTTCCCAGGTTATTTTCTGTTTAAAGGAATTAACCAGGTAATGTGCCTGCTTTTGGGGCTTGTTTGCAGCATCCTTGACATGCTACAAGCTATGATCCTGTCTTCTCTTTCTTTAGGCATGAAGATGTTGGTTGATGGGTCTTTAATCTTCTGCTTGGATTAGCATTTTTATTGTAATTAAGAGGTTAAGAGTCTAAAACTGACTTGGAAGGGATAGCAGGTTGGGAGTCTAACCCGCAGGTTTTAGGCTACCTGGGATGAAAGCATAATTTGCCAGACTTTCAATACCTATGTATTATGATTAGGCTTGTGCAGATCCTTATTGGTACTTTTTCCTGTTTGGACCTGCCTTCTCCGTCAGTGTTGACGTGGTTGTTTAATGGCCTTGGAATGTGAAGGGCTTTTAGAGCTTCCTAGAAACTGTTAAGGATGGTTATGGAGACGTTCTCTCTCCCTTTACTTGTTAACCAAATGAGTGAGTTTTGTCCACATTTCCCAGCCTGTCCTATGCACTGCTCTTATGAGGAAAATGTTCTGAAACCTCTGCAGAGAACTTCAGCTGGAATTACTTACCATCTCCAGCATTTACTTCAGGCTGGGACATCTTCTGTAGATGAGGGAGGAACTGTTTCGCTGATGAATGGCTGAATACATCATTATTGAAGTTGCTGATAGTCTTTGCATACACAACAGCTAGGTACCAATTTAAAGATTTCCTTTGCTGCATGATGTGGCTCTATACACCTAAATCTTTAAAAGCAGGAGCTAGCTTGGTCTCTGGTCTCAATTTTGTATGGCACCAGTGGTGTTATCTGATTTAAAAGACATAAAAGTGGTTTTAGCTATAGCTTGCAGACATAGTCATGGATTATATAGCCCTGCATGTTTAGCACACACACACATGTATTTTAAGAAATAAAATGAAAACTATGTAGTAATAGAGAGTGTGGTTATTCCTCATAAAGAAAAAGGGGGGGAAAGAAGGAATCTGGGGGGTGGGGTGGAAATGAGTTTACATATTTAGCTAGATTCTCAAAACTTTGTATACCCAACAAGGTTGGAGTTCCTTTTTAGTGTGTCTCGTTTCTACAGATGATGCACACATATTTTCTTTTCTGAATCCTGGTCACTCATGGTAATTGAGTGATGTTCATTGTGTCCTAATGATAGCAGGTTTTCTAACTCTATATCTGGGCAAAATAGACTGAGCCTTGTATCTTACAGTACAGCTGGTATGCATTGGAGGGATAAGATATTTTGTGTTTTTCTTCTAAGGAAAAGGATGCACCTGTCTAGACAGGTGAGAGTTAAAGTACTGGCAAAATTTGAGATCCAGGAATGTATAAATCTAACGCAGGATGACTCCTAAGAAGTTACTAGCTTTCATCCATGCTCTTTCTTTGCCAGCAAACACATAGAATCAACAGATATATAGCCAAACATTTAGAGACTTGAGTGATCCATAGCACTGTATGCTCATGTGAAGCTAGAGTGCGATTTTCCTAATGTGCACAGCTGATCCTAAGTTGTCATCAGCTTCCTCAGTATTAAAAGCATGTGCTACCATTTCAAAATTTTCTTTTGTTGCCTTCAGAGGGAGACGTGGATGTTGGGCATGTCTGAAAAGTAGGCCACTGGCATGTCAAGTTCAGACATATCTAACTCCATGCTCCAGAGAAGATTTAGTGTCATTAATCTTACCTGAGCATGGGATATGGTGGGACAAGTGCACTGACTCACGCAGCCTTCAGTGCAAGCAGTTCTGCTCGGTGCTGGCACACCTGTGTGTTTCTCAAGAGCCCGCTGGTGCTGTGAGTGCTAACTCGGCTGGGCCTCCGATGTGCTGATCGTGTGTCACCACACAAGACTGGCAGGAGGGGCTGGCTTCATCCTGGTAAACCTGCACTTTGCCAATAGCCCTCTTTTTACCACTAGCTGGATTGTAAGTGAGGAAAACTTTCACAGAGGCTGGTGTAAACAGCTTTCCTGGTAATTATGAACTCTGGTCTGTGCCTTCTTGTGGGTGGGAGTTCTGTGCTCACTTCCATGCTACAGACCTTCTAAATGTAGGTGTTGCAGTTAAGAACTGTTCTTCTTGAAGTGTTCACATGAAGTAAAAGTTTCCACAAGCAACTGAAAATTGTCAAAATCCTTTTATTTAAAAAAAATGGGCATTCTAGTCTCTGAGAAGGTGACAAGACCTAGGAGAAAAATATTTATCCTTTTATCCCATAGACCTTTGTCTTGTCCATTACCCTGTATTATCTTCATTTTGAACTCAGATGTCTCAGCTTCTTCATGTGGATCACTATATAAACAATTATCTTATTGGTATCTTCATCTCACATAGAGAAAATTGTGCAGAGCTTTTATTACTAGGTTTGGTTTACAGTTTGAGGGTCTTAAATACAGATGGGCACTTCAGCTGTTGTCCAAGGCTTGTGTTCTGGGTGTGCTAACTAGCAGGTTTTTAGGGGGCACAACGACTTAATGCGCATCTTGTGTAAATGAAAATCTCTTTGCTAAACTAACAGTGGACCAGGAATGGGAATATGCATATGTGACAAGAAATGTAGGAGTTGTCTTTGTGATGACAACTTCTAACATGGAGAACTGTGATCTTTCCACCCTTAAGTATTTCAAAAGCAATCTTTTTCTCTTTGTGGTTTTCCTGTCCAGATCCAGAACATTGAGCATACAGCAGGACAGCTGTGAAAAAGCTGTAATGCAAAGGTGGGATTCTTCACACAGTGCTGTGTTCAGGCAGGGTGCAAGGAACTGCAGACCCTTGGTAAACTGAGTTTCCTTTCTCCTGTGGTGGAGTGGTAGAAAGTGATTGCTTTGTCCAGCAGTGTGGTTGCAGTACAGGTCTGTAATTCTAATTTAAGTACAGAGTTACATCACTGATGTCTGCTCTGCCTTGCATGTGGCTGTTGGTTGGCAGCAGAAGTGCAGGTGCTGTGAGAACTGATTTTGATGCTGTCTGTATATGTTTATCAGTCTTAAGCCTGTAGGTTTCACACCCTGGTGATTGCAGCATGAGCAGTAGCTCAAGCAGTGCAGAAGGTGTGGATGCTCTTTACAAGCGTAAAAGGACTTGTTCCTGCTTGGAGGTTCTTTAAATTTTGATAAAAACATCAGTTACCAATAAGATTGTTCATAGAAATTGAAGAGACCGAGTGCTGTAGATGCAAATTGGTTTCTCTTTTTTTTTTTTTTTTTTTCTTTTTTTTTAACTAAATATTTTGGATATGTTGTAATTTGATGAGTGTGTGTTTGGAATAAAGGTCAGGGTGGAGGTTTGTGCTGGCTGTTTGCGAGGAAGAAGCGGATGCTGGCAGGAGGCTTAAGAGAGAAGACCGAAGATCCGAAAGTGCTTGGAATCTGACATTGTTGCAGAGTTGAAAAGTAATTGTTCCTGATTTGACTAACATGTATCCTGTTGAG